GGGGGGGGGGGGGGGGGGGGGGGGGGGGGGGGGGGGGGGGGGCTGCACTGCAATCCCTCGCGCAGTCTCTAGGCCGGGCCGCTACAAGTTGTTGGGCCTTTGCGCATATCTAGCGCCATCCTCTCGGAATTTCAGCTAGTGCTGTCGTGCCGTGCCGTGCCGATCGATGATCCACAATCGAGGCGTGCGCGCGGGTGCACAAGCTGCTTTGCTTCGCTTCACGCGCGCAACTCCTGATTCACCATAGCCGCCGCTTTCTTCCCATGTCTGTCGCCACATGACATATGCTCACTTTCCATCTGACCATGCCTTGGATATTATGTTCACGTGATGAGCGCACGTCGGAGCGCACGACGGTGCCCGAGTTTACGCCACGCCACGCTATCGCCATCGCCCCCCGCACTTGCTCGCCGCGGCCTTACTCGCGATGAGCGTGTCATTGATGCGCATCAAGCGTTGCATGCATGCATGCAAATCGAATACCGGCACGCCAGCCAGCAAGCAGCCCTGCGATTTTGCACAAATGGGGGAAGAAAGTTCCAGGGCGAAGGCGTCAGTTGGCGCCCCGGCTAGCAGAGAGAGTTTCGAGGGCTTGGACAATGTACAGTGTAGTCGCACGGGGCAATTCTCATTCTTGTTCCCCTCCCCCACAACTTGCGCCCACGTTTTGTTTCTTTCCAGGCTAGCATAGCGCCAGATTTGGACAAGAGAAGCAGCGAGCGAGTGCTGTAGCCTAGCCGCGCGAGAAGCGCATACAGTCGAAAGGCAACGAACGCAAGGGACTGTTTTTGTGAAGATGCACGCTGCGGCGAGTCAAGCCGGGGATGATGAAGAGGTGGTGGTGCATGGGCACATCGTCATCGGATCAGGCGTCTTTGGATCATCCACTGCGCTCGCACTCTCACGTCTAGGTCATAGCGTCACAGTGCTGGATCGCTCAGCTTCCGGCTACTGCGCTCCCGATGCCGCATCCAACGATCTCAACAAGATCGTCCGAGCGGATTACAAGGACGAACATTATGCTCGATTAGCCAAGATGGCCATCGAACTTTGGAGAAGAGACGATAGGCTGAGGCAATGCTACCATGAGGTCGGATTGCTGCTTCATTCGGGAGCGTCGAATCCTGATGGACAAGTGTATGTCAAAAAGGGATTGTCGACTGCCTTGAGGGATGCGCATCAAGAGCAGGGGTCGAGCAGCTCCTCTGAGCGCGTCCATCCATCCAGCGCCACCGTCGAGTCGGGCAAGACGACGGGAAGCGTCGGCACGTCCATGCCTGCGCCTCTGCCTCGCCTCGCTTACGAGCTCACCTCGGAGGAGCAGACCAGCAGCGTGTTTGCCGCTGATTTGCAGCTTGGCGTTGGCTTGAAGGGCATCGGCAAGACGCAGCAAGCCTACATCAATCCGCGCGCAGGCTGGGCCGAAGCGCAAAAAGCCACCAACATCGTGCTCGATCAAGCTAAAGAGCTGGGTGCGCGCGTACTGAGCAATGCCAATGTCGTCGAACTTCTGCACGACGACCAATTGCGCTTCTACGGAGCGCGATTGCAAGATGGAAGAGTTGTTCGAACGAGCAATTGCGATGCTCACGTCATTTGCTGCGTTGGAAGCTGGAGCACAAAGTTTTTGCACTCTGCTTTGCCCCCCAAAATTCAACGACCGCCAAGCACCTCTTCAGCTCAGTGCGTCTTGCTTCTTCGCGTCAAGAATGCGCAGTTGAGACGCCAGATGAAGGGTATTCCCGTAGTGCTCAATTTCGACACTGGTTTTTACGCTTTTGAACCGAATGACGAGGGACTTTTAAAGTGCGCCATACATGGGCAAGGTCATGCGTACCCCGAACCTCCTTGCGCTCCTCAATCATCCTATCCCAACTTTGCGCAAGGGCAGCAGAGCGACGCGGCTGACTCTTCCTCCGAGCGCGCTCCCAACACATTCCTTCCCGCGGACAAGCAGGAAAAGATGCTAAAGGAGCTGTACGGACTCTATCCAGAGCTGGCAGATCCAGACAATGCGCAAGTGGTGCAGAGCAGGATATGCTGGTACAGCGATTCGGTGGATGAAGAATGGCTGATAGATTACGTTCCAGGCACGCGCGCCCTGGTCGTCTGCTGCGCAGACAGCGGACACGCCTTCAAGGTGAGCAGCAAGAGAAGCGTGTTCGCAGCAGCAACGCTTTGCCCATGGCCGCAGCGCGCGCAGCTGGATGGACGCATCTCTCGCAACTCGCGCGCTGACAACGACGTGCTTCGCGACGCTACATCAGTTCTTGCCCTTGCTCGGCTCGCTCGTGACCTCCCGCATGCAGCTGACCGACAAGCCGCTCACTCCTCATCAATCTAAAGTCTGGTCATTCGCCCATCACCTGCAAGCTGTAGCTGCTCATCGCACAGACCTCAACATCAGGGGTCAGATTTGAGCTGCCAAAAGTTTCACTTTTGCCAAGAGCGAGCGAATAAAAGTTTACGCACCGCGTTACTGCATCTCTTACCAGCATATGCATGATCAGAGCTAGACGTGCGCCATCGCATTAGAGACAAAGGGAAAAGAGCCTGTCGACTGCCTTGCATTCGTGGTTATCCATGTATACGTGACGGTAACGAGCGAGCGGCATAATCTCCCAACTTTTACCTTTCCCCCCCTCCTTCCTGCCTTTCTTTCGCACACCACCACCCAGGCCTTCTTCAAGCGAGACTTCCAAAAGGATCATAAGGCGGGTATACGATAGTCTCCTCATTGACGCCCGCGTCGAAGAGCTGCCACAAGGCGGCCGGCATGTCCTGCTTGCGGACGACGACTTGGAAGACGTACTGGTCGAACCACGCATCAGACATGATCATGTATCTGAGGGGGGGGCGCGCGCGCGCGCACGGCAGGATGATCGCCATTAGTTTGCCCACTCGGCTGCTCTGATGAAAAGTGCATACAAGCACACTCACCCTTTCTGACCAGCCGTCTCGCTCCAGCTGTTCTCCACCCTGTACCGCGTCGGCTTGCCATCTGAATCGACCTGGACGCCAGTGATGACCATCGCGTGCGTCATCAGGCTCTCTCCCATTTGCAGCCTCTCCGCCTTGCTCAAGTTGAGGGAAATATCGAATGCCTCTTCCACTCCCGTCTGATACAGCGAGGGGCACATGACACCGCTCGCCGTATGCGAGAATTGGCCAACATCGCAGCCAAAGAACACGGCTTGGTTGGAGCGAAGGGACTTGACCACGCTCTCTGTGATCGTAAGAAGAGCACCAGTGTTCAGTGGGCTTAACTGCAGTGGGTGGCATTGGGCAAAAAGTACTTGGCTGGATGCGCCACTCACCTTTCATGACTTGGCTGCTCGTGTTGACGTAGCTAACAGGACGCGCGCCCCACACATTCTGCAGTCTATCGATGGTGATGAGCTGCAAAGAGTCAGGGAAAGGCAGGTAGTGAAGGAGTTGGGACAGATCAGCTCGCGCTGCCGCATACCGCTTGAGAAAGCATGCAAAGCTGACCTTCTGCTCCTCTGCTCTCGGATCATTGACCAAGCTGCAAGCATTGTCCAGATCGAATCTCTTCTTCAAGCTCTGCAGAAAGCTCTTGGGCGTGAAACGTCTCTCCTGATATTTGCCCTTGGAGTCATAGTACTGCCATGTAAACTCTTGCTCCGGACTAGGAGGTGCAGCTCCATTCGCAATCGTCAGTATTTCGAAAATCTTCTTCATCTGCCTCTCCTTTGTGAGCCTGACTTGCTGGACGATGCTGTGTTCCGACGCAAGTGACAGGCTGTGCGCTCCACCTTCTTGGGATCGCAGCTGAGAGATGAGACTGCGCAGCTCGAGAGCGAATTGCCGCAACTGAACAGTGACCAACCAATTGATCTTGTCGCTGTTGCTGCTGTTGAAGGACTCTGGGAAGATGACCTGGGGCACAATACCGTATACGCGCAAAAGATTCACCACCATGTCCCATTGGCCTCCATCGTTGACCGGGTCGCCCTTGAGGTATCCGTACAGACGACTGTCCAGCGCTTCGGATGCAAGGTCAATCGTGTTCTCCAACTGAGCACGCACAGACGCAACAACAACAACAGCAGCAGCAAGGCTGTTCAGCTTTGCACGCAAATCGCGTCTCGGCTCGTTCGATCCGACTCACAAACGTGTTGGCCTTTTCCAACTTGTCGTAAAAGTGCAGGTAACTCTGCGAAAGCTCCAAAGCGGGCACATCGTACTCTTTCATGGCGTGCACGCGGAGCAGGTTGAGCGTAGCAAATAGCCAGCAGCGTCCAGACGACCTGATGCGATGCGGTGCGGTGCGGTGGGGCGGGCCAGGATGGGACTGAATGATGAGGCATGGCGCGTGCGATGGGCTTGCCAAACGCGTGACTTTCTCCATCCCTGCTTCGCAGGCACTCACTTTTGGTTGCACACTGGCGTGCCCTCCACTACGAGCGATGAGAAGGCGATGAGAAGACAAAACCCTCCGAGTCAGTCACCAAGCAGAGGTGCGGATACATGCTACTCCGTTTCGCCACTCACGATCCACTTTGACGTTGAATACGTGGTTGCCCATCTCGATTTCCGTCTTTCTGTCTCTAAGAGCCAGCGCCAGCTGTTCGTTGTGCAGCGTCCTTGCAGCCAACTTGGCCGATGTGGTCTTGAGCGCCGTGTCGGACCAATACTGCAGCAGTGTAGGGATGATGTTGCTGCTGGCCTTGCCTGCATCTCGAGCGTTTTCTTGCTGCGGCGTCGTCGCTGGCGTGTGCGCAAGACGAGAAGCTTGGATCTTGTAGGATCTGTCGGTCGAGTGATGCAAGCTCAACGAGGCGTCTGGACGAGCACTTGCGCGACCGCTTCGTCCTAACTGACGCTCCAAGGATTGCGTTGCTGCGCTCTTCTCGCTCATCTCGCCCGAAGCGGGCAGAGGCTTGGAGGCGGAGGAACCCATGCTGGGCGAGCTGGAAGGAGGGGACCGGAGAGTGATGTACGTCTGTGGATAAAGTGAGGGGTGTATGCGCTCGATACGCGCTCTTGAAGCTTCTA